CTAGGATAGGGGAATGTCCTCTATCCCTGGCCCACCAGAGATCATCGATCAGTGCGACCAAAGCAGTTTTAGTGCAGTAACCAGGCCTGAAACCAGACTGAAAAGGGTCTAGGTAATCTGCTTCATCCAAGGACCGTCGGAGTTGTAGGGCCATCACCTTCTCAACAACCTTCCCTAAAAAAGGGAGGTTGGAGACTGGATGGTAGTTTTTAAGAATAACTCAAAAGTTTTGAGAAATATTTGGGTGGGAAGAGGGAGAAGAGATATCGATGTTTGTGCTTCAGTGATTCAATTTGGAAAAATATGTATTTTGCAAGGCCTGAAAATCAAATCCATACACTGAAACCTCAAACCCTTTTCCTGAAAATAAAAATGCTTAGATTCTGACCACCTTAATTCATTATGCACACACTCCTTCTGCAAGGTTGCCAAATCTTAACTCTGGCAAAGTTCCAACAGTGAATTTCTCCAGGCCCAGTTCTTTTCATCTCAAGCTGTGGTAACAGAAGAAATTGTATTTGGTAGAATTCCCCACCATGGAGCTCAGAAGAGCCCTAATTACAGCCTGTTCACCCAACCTCTAGTTATCATAAATGGTTTAGGAAGTTGATAACTGTGACATGCACTGTGTCTCAAGCACTGCGCTAAGACAGATGCAATTGATTGCCTTTGACTTAACATGTTGTGTGAACCTGGATCTTGTGGTTAATTGAACAAGTCATACTTCAAACCAATCATGACACAGTCCCATATGTAATTCCAACAATTGCTTAATTAAAGAAGCAGCATAAGCAGAATCTAAATATTTGCAGACATCTTGTAAATACATCCAAGCCATCAGGCCTAAACTGGAATAAAACTCATAGAACTACATGGGGATACATGTCCTACACCATTTGAGCAACATCTACATTTTGCTCTATATAACAGCAAACAATTATTCCATTTATCATGTAGCCACAAGATTTGTTAGAACAGCAGGAGGAGAGAGAACGTTTTAATCCAATGTCACTTAATGATTTAATGTTCTTTTATTTTGGAGCCTTGATTTGAATTCAGGCCAGGCCTGAAGATTCCTCTGGTCAGACAGCTGGAAAGTCCACTGAAAGAAACCGTGCAGGTGGTCTTCCAGTTCAGTTTGCAGTGAAAATAACCCAGTAAAATACCTTAATGAATGCAGCCACCCACACTGGGCACCCTTTAAAGTAATTTCAGAAGCAAATTGAAAAACAGCCTCCAATGAAATCAAAGGGCTAATTCTCCATGCCAAGGTAAGTACAACATTAAGAAGGATTAGTCAACTGGAAAGAGCTTGTTACTGTATATGTTCCTCCTTAGCAGCAAATAAACAATATTTAAAATATAGCTGATAAGTATGAATAAGTTGTACAGTAGCTGTTCAGTCTATTTATTAGTGTTTTACAAGGCTACATTGACCTGCTGTATCAAGAGGGGGAAAGAAAGAAAGAAAGAAAGAAAGAAAGAAAGAAAGAAAGAAAGAAAGAAAGAAAGAAAGAAAGAAAGAAAGAAAGAAA